GCCTACTAGTCTTACATTGATTTGTATGGGTGTGGTCGAATGTGAGCGTATTGAATAAAACCGTTTATTAGACAGCATAATTATAATACCTTGTGTGTTGTTTTCATTCTGACATCTCATGTTTACTTAATAGTATTTTAAGCATAGCTGAGTGTGATCCAGTTTTTTGAAATAAACAGTGCTGACAATTAATTTTTACATTTATCGTAATTGTTTAACAGCATATTATAGATTTAAAGGTATTGATCCGTCTGAGCGTCGGTGGCACAGTGGTTACGACTGTCGCTGACCATGCACATGGTCCGGGGTTCGATCCCCTGCCGGCGCACACCCGATATCAATGGTCGGCCTGCGAAATTTGGGCTACCGATATCATATGCTGAAAATTCCATACTTGTACCAAAAATACTGTGTGGTTTCAAGCTATAATAAAAAAAGAATGCTTATCAGCCACACACACACACGTCGTCCAGTCTCGATTCCTCGAACTCTGTATGCAGAAAACGTTTGTTCACTTTCTTATTCTACCATATCCTTAAGCTCTTTCCCATTCTATCGCTTCTATTTTTAGTAATGATTCACCAATATCATTTTTACATGTTCCTATTGTGTAACTTACCAAGTAATTTTCTCTCTCCTTCTTAAAAGTGTCAAGTGGACCATCAACTCTCTTGTTTCTCATAGGATTACAACTTTCATCTTAGAATTATTGGAAGAATTCTCTTTGCATACTAAGTGATCAGTGTTGAATATACGTTCAGTTATAGCACACTTTATTGACCTACTGTTATCCTAACCGTAGCCAAGCGAGATAATGCTCTTTGACTCTTTTAAATGAAACACGCATCTAATGACCTTTATATCTCACTCCATATGAGTGAATAAATTGATAGATGCACAAAAAAGTGGTCGAATGCGATAGTTTATCTTTCAAAGTTACCTACAAAGTCAAAAGAAGCATCCCGAAAACGATAAGCTTTCATATACTTTGTATTGCAGAGGCCTTAGAGATTCGAATGGAAAATCCTAATTTATGTACTCAGAAGAAACTTCTCCATCCCCTCCTTCTACCTTAGGTGTAATACTAAGTTCAACTGTTATCACTATTTCATTAATAATACTAATTTGTGCAATTTTCGTATGAAATTTAGTATCATAGTGTTCTTAACTGACCTTCTATTTACTGTTTTTCTCTATTACATAATTTTTGATAAGTGCCTCCAAGGTATTTTATCAATATTCACTTTTTTATGAATGTTTTCATATTTTCATATAACCCCAGTCAAAACTTACTTATCTTCCACCCCACTGCACCCCTAGTTACAATTTTCATTATTCATCACATTTTTTGAAATATCTGATAACCTAAGCAATAACCCAAGCTAATTTTTATTCTTTTTTGAGAAACCTAATGTACGGCAAAGTACAGATCCTCCAAGTTTTTGAAGCTATGCAAGTGAAAAGCAACAAGTTGACAGAAGAAGCATCCAGAGATGATAGGACTTCAGGTAAACATAGAGAAAACAGAGGTGATGAAGATTCCTGGCCAACAGCAACAGACAACAGTCAGCCAGAGTAAATAGGAGAAATCTGTAGGTTTAAATGCCACCCTAATTCCTGCTTTATTTAGAATCCTACGTAGGGTCTCAGATGTCCCCTCTTTATATGGTATAACTGTAGATGACTTATATTCTCTCTTATTTATGTTATTACTACTAGTTTCACAATTCTTTTTATTTTTATTTTGGCGTTTTTCAATCTTCTTAATGAATTTTAGAGGATAGTTATTTAACAACAACGCTTCTTCTATCTGTTTTATTTCATCATTTAGGTCTTTTTTGTGCTCGGTTTGCTAAACACTTCACTAAGCCTGCCTTAACAGTTAAAGGATGAGATGAATTAAAGTCTAAATATCTATTAGAATGCGTTGGTTTTCTATAAACACTAGTGTGAAGTTTACCTTCTTCTATTCGTTTTATTTTACAATCTAGCATAGCCAACTCTCCTTGTTCATCTTCCGATTCAAATGTGAATTTTATCCCCTCTACTAGTGAGTTAATATGTGTCAAGAAGCTAGAGATATGTTCTGTTTTTAACACTGTGAAAGTGTCATCCACATATCTCCACCATATTTTTGGAGTAGGATTAAACGTATTAAGTGCCATATTTTCCCAGCTATCCATAAATATATCTGCTACGATAGGGGATATTGGTGATCCCATTGCTACACCTTCAGTTTGTCTATATATTTTGCCTTGGAATCTGAAAGAAGCAACCTCCTTTACCTACCTACCTACCTGGGTAGCATCGTTTCAACTACAGGCGGACGGAAGTGATGAGGATATCAAGGCGAGGATCAGGAAAGCAAGGCCAGCTTTCATTACTCACAAGTCTGTGTGGAGGTCAACAGCACTCAGCATGAAAATGAAAATAAGATGTGGAATTTCAACTCCAATGTGAAGTCAGTGCTACTATACGGATCAGAGACTTGGCGTCGCGTCACGAAGGGCACTTCGAACAAATTACACACTTTCATCAACAGCTGTCTTCGCTCAATACTCAAGATCTGATGGCCGGCCAGAAAAGATCAGCAACAGAGATCTGTGGCAATGAACGAACCAACCCAGCAGGAACCGATTGTGCAACAAATAAGCAGGAAGAAGTGGAGGTGGATTGGCCATACTCTGAGAAAACAAACCATCAAGTGACATCACATGCAGGCCATGGCTCGAGTGGAACCCGAACGGGAAGCAACGAGTTGGTCGTCAGTGCAAGGGTGACATGGGGGAGGTCATTTGAAGAGGAGATGAAAGCATGTGGGCAGACGTGGAGCCAGATGAAAACGTTGGCAGAGAACCGAACTCAATGGAGACGAGCGGTTGACGCCCTATGTTCCTCTAGGAACTAAAGGACGCAATAATAATAATAATGTACACACAACACACATACAAAAGGAATTATACATAATCGCGGCTGTACAGCTGAGTGAATGAATTCACCGAAGAGGGATTCTTTGCTAAGCTGTTTGTTCCTATTGCCCATTATATCACTGCCTGTGTCACTCATTAGTAGGTTACTATTCATTTTTGGTAAATATCCATGCGATTGCACAACTTTTCAAAATGATTTTGTTGATAAAGATAATCTTTGTGAAGTTGTTCGTCATTTTCTTAGCGACGGGATATATGAACTTCAATTCAGATGTACCGCAGACATACGACTACCTACTGGGACAGAAGGTGGAGTCTTCTGAACACCTTAAGCAGCAATCTTCGAATGTTTGGCATACGATTCGCCCCTGTCAGATGTAAGATGGTGCTACAGGACTGGACTATATCGACTCACTCATAGCTTAAAAATAGGAGGTGAAGTGGTGGAACGTGTTGACTACTTCACTTATTTGGGAAGTTGCATCAGCCAGTCCAGTGAGTTGATAGCTGACTAAATCTGAGCACGGATACAGAAGGATCGTTTGTCGTATGTCAACTTACGCCACCACTGTTGTAAACTTGTTATCCAGCTGGCTATCGATCAAAGGAGGTGTGTATCGCTCAACAGTTTGCTCCGTCCTCCTCCTTTATTTTTTTTTAATCCTTCACGTTCCCCAGTGAACATAGGCTTCAAGCATGTTCTGTAGCAGTGTTTTTTTACAGGATGGGGTTGCTAGCCTCATGCCCAACCTTTCCTCTTTACCAGCATTATTTCTGGCTTAGCGAGGTAAAGGAGTGCGTTGGCCGGGGTTTGAACCCCGGACCATGTGCATGGTCGGCGAGCGTCCTAACCGCTATGCCACCGACGCACCCTCCTCCTTTATGGCTGTGATATAAACATGGCCATTGAAAGTGGAAGACTTGAAAAGCCTGGCTAGCTGTTTTTGATTATAGGTGTCCACCTTCTCTCCCCCGTGTTAGATGGTATAATAGGGTGAGTAATATCGTATTGAGGTTAGATATCAGTCGAGTGCTAGGTATGGAGGGGAGATCTGTCGACGAAGTTTTGAAGTTACGTCGATTAAAATGGTTAGAACATGGGTTACGCATGCATCCATAGTCATCGCCTTCCTCGACAACAGGCGATGTTAGCCACTGACATAAGATTGATCCGGTTATAAAAGAGCTGGTGGTGGGTGGTGAAACGAAAACATGGCCTTATCAGTCAAAAAATCCATGACAGTTAATTTAAGCCAGCCAGGCAACTAGCGATGTAGGGAGGTGTAGACTTCCTGACTGACTGGTTGGGATCGTCGGGATGGTAAGAGCCAATGAAGGCTGGAGACAATTGGTAATATGACTCAAAATCGTTGTTGTTAGTGGATTGCTCAGATGCATTCACGCTTCGTGATTTGTTATATCCAATAAAACTATATTGTTCTTCCATATTACTCTTCTTTTCCCCTCACACTTCTGTTTAGTGTCTCTTTTGATAAATGTCTCTCCACTCTCTTCTCTTGCTTTGATTGCTACATGGAGTGGAGTGTGGCAACTGGAACTGGTGCATATCTGTCCGAAGTTATATGTTGAAGCCAGTCAGTCAGTCAAAGCCTTCAATTTAGAGACGAAGAATGTTGATGATTAAGGTTTTCATCTGAAACCTCGATGGGCCATCAGTAAGTCTAACTTATGTTAAGTTTCAGATATAACGACACTATCAACTAATGCCACGGGTGACCATGCACTTCACACTGAACAAAATTAGTGGTGAAGGAGTCTCGAAAGTGCACTGTGGAACTGTCCCAAGTTAGAAGTGAACAATGGATTGTTTCCATTGTTTATTCGCCTAATTTATGTTAGTTCGTAAAGAATAAACCTTAATTGTAATAATTAATTCAGTCTTTATAACCTGACAAATCGATTAAGCTTCAGTGTGCATGCAAATACGCACGCAAACACACACACACACACAGAATATGAATCGCCAATAGATGTCTGAATATGTAACTTTCTCCTGATTGGTTCATTTCAATAACATTACTATTTTAAATTACATTAATACTACCGATAATTCAGTTTATGGTGATCACGAAAATGCTGAGGTTGTCTACAGTATGTCAACTGTACATAGTCTACATTTCAATCTGCTGCATACTATACTGTCAAACTCTAGTTCCAGCGCCGGCTAAACGACATTCCACAGGGATATACCATCATCTTGTTGAAAAGTTAACTTATGACAATCCACATGGAAATTGTTACATACTCATAGATGCATTGCGAAGATTTGAACGACGTCTTCTATTATCACGTCAATATCCTATTGAAAAGGTTACACTGTCGAATAAAACAATCACTATAATCAAAATTCAAATAAATAAAATCTGTGATGAATCACATAACAGACTATGGCCATCTGCATCAATGAATGAGTCGTGTACGTTGTAAAGATCTGTGTAACTAATTGTGTATATGTTGTAGATTCATTGTTGATACTTGGTGAGAAGATTGTAATTGACTCTGAAGAAGTATGGGGAATATTACACGGATTAGAGACAATACTTCAGTTAGTTTATCGAAGTCCAATGGAGACGGTATGTGTAATTCATTCCTGGTCTCAACAACTCATTTGTTAATGTTATTAATGTTAATGTTGTTATAGAATGTGATTGAAGGGGGTACATTATCTGACGCTCCATTATATCCACACAGAGGATACCTAATCGACAGTTCAAGGCATTATTTATCAACAATTGAAATAAGAAAATTTATTGTAAGTCAGTCTCTCAGTGTTGTTTAACTTGTCATTATAAACTTTTTATATACTTAATTTATTTGATTGGTGATGGTGATCGTTTCACACCATTTTTTAAAATCAACTGCGTGTATTTACATTCCCAGTGATGATGTTCCTATTGGAACTCAAGTGCAGAAGCTACCGTTTTAGACATGAGAATTTTACCCATTAAACCACTGGTTCCCGAAACCCATTTTTTGTGCTAAGAGTATTCGCTGTATCCTAGACTTGTCAGCTGGATGTACCTCTATCTTCGGTGAATCAGCATAGTACTCCCAATAATAAATACAAGACAAGTAGATTGGTGAAGGGGCTCTTCTCTTGGCGAATCCACTTTCTCCTCTGGCTGTACAATAGCATTTATATACGGTCTGTTTTTCGTGAAAGAGGGTAGTAACAAAAGTGATTAGTTGGGACAAACAATCAACAAAGTTTACTCCTGAAATAGAAAATGAATCTAAAATTCCTTTTCTTGATGTTGAACTTACAATGACAGACGACAGAACTGTAAGAAGGTTGATCCATAGGAAACCCACATAGAATGACCAACTGACAAGTTTCTACAGCTTGGCACCAGTTAGTCATAAAAGAAACCTAATTACATCTCTTGCTACTCATATCCAACGCGTCTGTTGCCCTGGTGCTTTGGAAGAAGAATTACACTGTTTGAAAGTAATCTTCATGCGAAACGGATACCCATCAATATTTATGGACAAGAAAGAGCATAACGCCGAAAATTCAAAAATAAGAGACGTCATCCTTGCCAAAAAAAGGAAACTTTGAATACACCTTGACTTCAAATGTGACCTATTCAGTGATATCCTTAAGAGGAGCATTTCGCCTCGTTTACGAAGAATTTCCTTCACAGCAAAATTAGGAGTAATGTCTCCCATTTATCCACTGGTCTGCAGAAGTCTAAAGGATAAGATCTCTCAAATTACCACTCCGTTGTGCATTTATCACTTCATCCGTTCTTTTGGGGCCAGGTACATCGGTCGTTTGTCACGTATCCTGTCTAAAAGGATTCAAGAACACTATATCGCATGGTTTTAGAAAGGCCATAGTGTCTTTAAAAGGAGCACGAAAATCGAACACTTTATCAACACTGGTCTCTCCACCTCAATAAACGCTTCCTACAAAATGACCTACAAAGTGAAGAGTAACCTGCCAAAGGCAATGCGCTTTCGTCTTCTTTACATAACTGAAGCTTTAGCCATTCAATACGAGAAACAGGAGTTAAGCATACAAAAGAAAATTATTCAACCACTTCCACTATCGTTGATTTCTAATAACGTGATGTTTGTTTGTTTGCCTGTCTTTCTAACTCCTTTCTTACATTATGGTTAAGCCTTTGACTCTACTGAAACATCACTGATGGTAACGAGGTCAGGATAGAGGAGCAGTAAATCTAGGAGAACTGTGTTGTCGCCAGTAAACATAATCAATGTCTTTTCTAGTCGGTTAGAGATAAGTGAATTTAAACCACATACATCATTGGCAGTGTATTGAGCTTTAATTCCTGGAAAAACTGGTTGACGCCCAAATTATCAGAATCATTGTTCTTATAATATGTTAGTGGTTTGTTTAACTGACAAATCTGTTCACTTCCCTGTAACCGTTGAAAGTCAGAATACACTACTGATTGATATGAGTAGTATATAGTAGTATCAAGTGCAAATACCTCCAAATTACCGTTAAATGTGCCCCATTTGCTTGTTATGCTGAAGGAATTACCCATCATAATCTGTTCTATTTAGACAACACTACCTTTTTAATTTTTTTTTTTTTTGATTACAGATTGATTCTACACAGTATTTTGGTGCAGATATGGAATTTTCAGCATGTGAGCCCAAATTTTGCAGGCCGACCATAGATATCAGGTGTGCGTCGGCAGGGCATAGAACCCCGAACCATGTGCATGGTCGGTGACAGTCCTAACCGCTGTGCCACCGACGCACACATAAAGTAGTAATAACAGTCGTTCTCTGAATTTTCAGTAACGATGCGAATTAAGAAACAAGATCTGATTTTTAGTATTAATGTCAGTGAAGTAGACGCTTCCATTGTGTTTCACAGAACCAGAGCGTCATCGAAACCATTTTCAACAGGCTACCTTGTACTTTCATCGGAAACCACCCTCATTTCCCCTATACTGAAAACCAAATGGCTGGTCAGAAAGCATCATCAACGACAAATTCTAGCAGATAGCGAACCAGTAAAGAAACTATTTCTGAACAACTATGCAGAAGAAAGTAGAAATGAACTGGAGATATCGAAGGGACATCCCAGTCCATACAGTCGAGTGGAACTCTAAATGAAATTGAACAGTTTAGCGCGGATTCAAATTTCGATATGGAGAAGATCATGTGACGTAGAGAAAATGAAGGCTTGTCAGCAGTCGTACAGTCAGCTAAAAAGGAGGGCAGAAAACCAAGCGGAATGGAGATGTGCTGCTGAAGCTTCATATTCCACTCAGAACCCAATGGACAGATAATAACTGTCGTAATAACGATTCTTCCAGGGGACTTGATCATTTGTCAAAGAATCGTTTCTTAGTATTATTCCATAAATACATCTGAAAAATTTAATACAATCCGTGGATGGAAGTGAATAATTAAAACAAAGTTTTACAAAATGTAAACTTGATGCATTGAATAAGATATATAATTTTACGAATCGAATCTTTCAGTTGCCCGCCTCTGATCATTGGCATTCATGACCTACAAATCACTCACCCAGAACTTTGGCAAACTTTATAAGACTGTCATTTGTGAAACTATCTAAAGTAATATTTATGTATACTGTTGAAGTGTTCCGTCCGTGAATATGCATTTTTAATTCTTTTCTATTTGTACAGGATGCCATGGCAATGGTGAAGATGAATGTCCTCCATTGGCATATTGTCGACGACCAATCATTTCCATATGTATCAAAAACGTTTCCACAACTGTCACTGAAGGTAAGTTTCAAATATCACTTTGCGGTCCTCCACCGATATCAAGTATAAAAGAGATCTGAATACCAAAAAAGGATAAATGGTGACTTTTATTTCAGTCGCTTTAAATCTGACATTTTCCCTTGTTTATATAATATATCGAAACCTGGAAAGTATCAGTGAATTGATTTGTCACTGAGAAGCAACCGGTACCCTGTGTCTATTCCTTAGTGTTGATACTGAGCGAATTCTACTAGTCACTCATTTACTGTGGTCATCAGCGAAGAGTCGCCATTGTGGTTCACTTTTTGATCTAATGTTAGGTGGTAGAACTCCCTGTTCACTGCCTCTAGCTAAAGGTATTTATGCCTTACCATATGGAATATAGAAAGCTTGTATTGGTATTATATGACACAAAATTATGATGAATTTGAACTCGTTTCTTGTCATTTCCACCTATGCATTTGACTCCCCCTCTTCACTTCAATTATTTCGACCTCTAATTTGGAAAATAACTGTTACATGGTACATAGTGGAGATGGGATTAGGAGACTTAGGCATTGAACTTCCATTCAGCGGATCCTGGGTTCGAATCTTGTCCCACCTACTTTAGCGTGAACAAATTGGCAGTATCATCAGCCTTTGCACGATGAGTTCCGGACAACCAAGCTCTAGCAAAAATAACAGTTATACGTATGGTTGTATAGTTCATAAAAAGAAAGAGCCGTTAGTGTTCATGTCCTTGTATGACTATTTATGTATAAGAAATCTGTCTTCATAGTACTGCTAGTCAGTCTACCTAACTAAAATGGTTAATATCAGCTGACGGATGTCTACCTACTGAGATGCTCTGAATAAACTCAAAATAAACACATAAACTAATGGCAAACAAGTTTAAATATAATTCTTTACTAGTTCTTTTTGCTAAGCTCACAACTTTCTAAAATATGAAACCCAATTTTTTTGGCTATATTTGGATCAGTTAACACCGCATATCACCTGAGAGTGTGAGTGCGTGTATGTGAATGACTGGCTGCGTGGATGTATTTATTAACCAATGAAAAGTGATATATATATACTCTGTAGTGTTAATAAAAATTAAGACAATCACAGTATCAATCCTTTTTATTAGAATAGTTGCACTATCTTATACAAGACTGATTTGTTTGTTGTATACTGACGTGACGATTTAATGTCCAGTGCTGAAGCCAATGAGGTGCCCCCTCCGAATAAGTCGACTGATTTAGAAATGAAATATCACATGTCTCGTAAATGAATTCCTTACAGTTACTTATTATCTCCATAAACGCCCTGACAAGGCCAAGGGTGGGTAGACTTCAGTCTTCCTCTTGAAATACTCTTGTAACAACAGAAGACAAGGGCCAGGCAACAGATCGTTTATTACGAAAACCAACAGGTATTTATATGTATTTTACGTACATTAATAAGGCTCTGCCCGCAGAAAGAAGGCGGTCTTCTGATTGGTTGATTGCAAACAAAACGCAGTCTTCTGCTTTCTCGTTTTCGATATTTCTCGGAAATGCGAGCCACTTGTCTGCGAATCATATTTGTCCACGTCTAGGTCAGCTGTGATCGGTTGTTGAATCAGCCTAGATTAATTTCCACCAATCAGCGTAGATCAATGTCTACCAATTGGCTAGCAGCTTGCTCTCACCACACTCGTCCCCCGTCAAATATTGATGAATCGGCTGGTCTTCTCGGTTCTTGGGGCTTTGCTCTGTTGTCTTGCTGTCTGGAATCTCGGAGCTTGCGGATGTCCACTTGTTTAACGGTGTTTACCATTGCGATTGTGTCTGCGTAACCCCATCTCAACGTGACCATATGTGGTCCTTCCCACTGTGGAAACTGTTTGCCTGACCCTGTCGCACATTCGTAGGTATTTCGCCTCACACTTCCATATGCTGCTTTCTCCCGACCTCCCAGCAGCGTCCCAAGTAGCAGCCTCATCGCTGACAGATCTTGAACGCCACTCGACTGCGAAGAAGCCTCGAAGTCCTGCCCGAAGATCCATGTGTCTCCATCAAAAACTGCAGGGCATAGGCTTTCCATTTGTCGGTAGGCAGCGACACCAAATGTAACAACAGAAGACAAGGGCCAGGCAACAGATCAGTTTTATTACGAAAACCAACAGGTATTTATATGTATTTTACGTACATTAATAAGGCTCTGCCCGCAGAAAGAAGGCGGTCTTCTGATTGGTTGATTGCAAACAAAACGCAGTCTTCTGCTTTCTCGTTTTCGATATTTCTCGGAAATGCGAGCCACTTGTCTGCGAATCATATTTGTCCACGTCTAGGTCAGCTGTGATCGGTTGTTGAATCAGCCTAGATTAATTTCCACCAATCAGCGTAGATCAATGTCTACCAATTGGCTAGCAGCTTGCTCTCACCACACTCTATGTAGTCACGTTCACGTTGTCTCTTTCAGGTACATCCTATTCACTGCGTTCATTCGATAAGGGTGCTCCTCACAAAAGTGAAAGGGTGAATGCTAACGTCTGGTGTGTACAACCACACTAGTGGATATGCAAGTCTACCAAGGGGAGGTATGAAACCCTGATTTAAAATGTATGGTGTACACGGGTTCCAGAATCCTAACGGATAGAATGGCGTGTGAACCTGGTTCGGTCACCTGAAACCATGGGAACATAAATCCTGACACTACTCCACTTTTTATGGATCAAACTTCAGGTTAAAGACTCGGTTGCTGGCGCGTCAAGATAACCACCTGCTTCGTTTTGGGTGTCCAAGAAGTATCTCAGCCCGTACACAAACTACAAGAGTTTGTGTGCCGCATCTCTTGGTTTTCACAATGTACTAAGTTTGAATTTGATTAATGATACAGTTGCTTATTACTAAAGCACTGGTCATTTGATTTCTGTAATGAAATTATATATCGGCTTTGTTGTATTTTTTCCAGGGTGCATATCATCCACATCTTTTAGTCTATACACCAAGTGATGTCAACTACATACTGAACTATGCTCGTTTACGTGGAATACGTGTTATGCCGGAATTTGATACTCCAGGTTAGTGAAGTGTTGATTAAATGTCGATATTGTGTTATTGTTTCACGCCAAGTTGTTTCTTCTAATGAAAACTTGGAGGTTTCTTATATTTGCTGATCTCATTTCAAGCGGGAAATCTTAAGCGTATCTCACCTAACTTACAAGATTAGTTGTTCAACCGCATTTTATTCGTCTCTGTTGAGTGTAAAGCGATGCTGTTGGATTGATGTGTGTTGACTCCTTGTTTGAGAATATCGACTGAAGTGGTTCAGTGTGCTTGTAAGGCTCAAATTTATTCGTTTATGATTTGAAATCAAGAAACCCACATCTGAGTTCTGCTGTATAGCTGACAAAACTTCGTTGAAACACGCGCTATCACGAAACGTTTCAAAGGCAGGGAAAAAGCGATTATTCTCCAATATTTTAGCGGTACCTCAAAAGTCCAGTGAGGCAGCTAACTATACGGGCAATGTAGGTTTCTAAATGCACAGCAAGCACTGTAAGACAAAATTAGTTAACCAAAGTTCAACTTTACGAAGCACCTTAGAATCGAGCAGAACATTCCTAACGAGGTGGGATTAAAAGTCCTATCCACAAGAATAACACACCAAAGCTTCTCGCAGACAGTTCTGGGTCAGAATGACTGTCATTTACTCAAACAGACGCATATCGTTAAACGACACAATGTCAATGTACACATAAGCACAAAGAGAAGTAGTACAACTGAAGACTAAACAAGGACACAGGCAAATAGTAAAGGTCGAAATCAACATGTAATATGCAAATGTCAAATTAATGATACACAGTCTAGAGGAAAACGCATAATAATTACAAAGTTAGTTGAAACGTCTAAATATTATAAATAGTTTGCCCAGGGGAGATTTTCCAAACAATCTGTCCACTACAGCGCTGAGCAATACTGGGGTTAGGCGTCGAGTGCTAGGTAAGGAGGGGAAATCAATAGACGAGGCTGTGAAGTTACATCGATTGAGATGGTTAGGACATGTGTTACGCATGCCTAGCCATCGCTTTCCTCGATGGGCAATGTTAGCTGACATAGGATTAATCAGGTTGGAAAAGAGCCAGTGGTGGTCAAACCAAAACATGACTTCATCAGCCAATCAAATCCACAATAGTTAGTTTAAGCCAGTCACGTAGGGAGATGTAGACTTCCTGACTGGTTGGGGTCCTCGGGACGGTAAAAACCAATGGCTGAAGACAATTGATGATATGGCTCAAAATCGTTCTCAATGACAGCGCAGATGCACCCACTCCTTGTGACTTATAATTTCCAATCAAACCATATTGTTCTTCGATATTACTATTCTTTTTGCTTCATATCTCTGTTTACTGTGTCTATTTTGCGTTTCTTTTTACTTTCTTCTCTGTCTTTGTGTGTTGAGTGAAGTGTGGTGATTCGAACTGCTGCACATCGGTGCAAAGTTCTACGTTGAAACCAGACAGACAGACTACAGCGCTGATCACCTGAATTAAGTTAGACTATTCACGTTGAATAAAACAATATGAGATTCAATTTCTGTACTAATTATTAAGTGTCAGGTAAAAGATTATAAATCGGCAGGTGAAACTGTGAATCATCACCGAATACATTACTTAGAATATGTCTACAGTTAGTAGATTATTATTATGTCAATTATGGAGGACTGAAATGAGATCACTCCTTAACCACCTTTATAAAAATGGAATAAAAATCTAGCTTATCCGATCTCCCCTTATCTGAGAGTTTTGAGATGCCCTTGATTAATTTAGTCTCCACATTTTGCGCGATCTCCAATTTGTCTCCTTCCTATTTGAAACATGCGCTCACTACCTTGGATCCACTATTCCACAGCGAGTTGATGTGGAATTAGGCTGAATGTAAGCCAGAACTCACTAGAGGGAAGTCACTGACTACTAGTCTCAGCAGCATAGAAATATACATGCTTCATGACACTATGGGATACTAAAAATTCATGTTTAGTAACTCTCGCAATTCGTCAGTCACTAAAAGTCTAAAAAAACAGAATAACTAGAGAGGGCATTTACGCCAAACATTTAAAAGAGAATACTTAGAAATGAAGAGCAGACAAATGCGTTTCTAGATTTTGTACATGTTGACATCCTTCGTGAACAAAACGTCGACGGGATTTCTAAGCTATCTGTCCATCATTCTACTTTTATTCACAGACGTCATATTAAACCAGAATTCACCAAAATGTCAACATTAAGCCAGTCATTCATATTTTTTATATTGTTAAAATAAAACTGGATTAAATGTTGACCTATTTACTTGCATTCAAAAGTCTCACAAACACCAGTGACCTAAATACACAGTCTCTGATATTTTCTTGATATTAACATTTTCTAAATAAAGAATGATTCGATCCAGTTAATCGATTTTTATAAGAATGTCAACATGACTGACAGATATAATTCACCAGTCACGTGATGTATACGATAATTCATTTACCATTGTGGGTAAAATTTATTTTGATAAAGTCTCACAGTGTTATACAGTAATACTTACTGATGATGTTTCGAGCACAATTTATTGTTCATAATCATTTTCCAGTTTGATTATGAATTGATACCAGTTTGAGAACCATTGAAAACCAGGTAGTGAGTACTGGACAGCTGTTTCCTTCATCCTAGTTTGAGGTTCATCGGCAGTACTCACCCACCCCGAAGTTTCGAACCCAGGACCTTCCAGTTATTAGGCAAGGTCGTAGACCATTCAGCCACTGGGACTCGACCTAATGATCAGCCAATGAACTCTAACTTCTACCGATTCGTGATTTTAGCGTGACCACCAGCCATTTTCTATATGTTTATGTACTATGTAACTTCTTGACTTGATGGATTTGTTCATTGAACATGTAGCAGTTCTGATTGCATATATATTCCCTCCATGAAGTTAACTGTGTCATAGATTGAGTGGTAGAATGCTTATCAGCCACGCCCTTGATTCGGGGTTCGATTCCTGCCTGAAGAACTCCTACACATCACCTAGTCGGTAGTAAGTCCCCTTAGGAGGAAAGGTTGAATATAAGGTTAGCAGCTCCACCTCGTAAGGACAAGACACCACAGCTACTGACCCTTCAAAGCTGGAGCATGAAATCCTATGTTCCACTCAGATGGCAAAGGAGTGAAAAAAGGAACTTATCTATAGTCAGCCATTTTAAACATTGAATTTTGGTGAGTCTTGCAACAGTAACATATCTGCTACCATTCTAATTGTCCCACGTCATCAAATGCTTCATTTGTGGTTAATGCAATATGCCACAGAGACTGAGCACTTCTCTTTGCTGAAAACAACTAGCAAGAAATTATTTTTAAAAGTTTTAATAAATATGAAGTGACACCCGTTGCACAAGACGTGGACCTTTGGTTTAATAGTCCAGTGTGTAATGCTTTGGAGTCTGAAACTATGGCTGATAAGTTATCTTGTGGTCAGGCCAACACTTTTAGCTAAGGAGAGTAAGAAAGTCAAACGATGAGACTGTGCAGCTGTATCGATTGAGATGGTGATGATACATATCTTATGTATGCCAAGCCATCGTCTATCTCGTTGAGCTGACATAGGATTGAGGTAGAAAAGAGTTGGGAGTGGTCAAACCAAAACATGGCATCAATGAATAAATTCTTTGATTGTCGGTAACGAGCCACGTGGGGAGATGTAAACTTCTTGACTGGGGTCCTCAAGATGTTAAGAAGCGATTTCTGTGGAGTGTTGGCAACACAGCTCGAATTAATACTCAACATACTTAATGTCTGCTTTGATGAGGTGTGGCAACCTAAAGCGCCACAGCTTTGTGCAAAGTCCTACGCTGATATCCCGGTTAAGTTCACTTCAGGTGGTGTGTTTGAGTTCTAGTAAGCATATCACCACCTATTGGGATGCAGTTATATTCTGGAAGACGAATCCTGCATACACTGAAACGTTCGTCTTGGTCTCCATGCGAAATGAAAAAGGTGACTTCGAAAAACCAAAGCATTTGGCGTATTCATTGCACGATTCCGAAGCAAATCCAGTAGAAAGAGATATCTTGAGGAAAACAATTCAAATGAGCCATATTGAGATGCAAGATGGCTTAAAAGTATGAAGGATACTGTGGGAGTACTATTCGACAGCAGACTAATTGTAATTACATCGATTATTATCATTATTTTTCCATTGGATTCCAAGTGGAAAATAGGACTTCGACAGCACGTCTCCACTTTGTCCTGTTCTCTGCGGTCCTCTTTAGCTTGTCCCGAAAACTGACCATAGTCTCTCATCTCCTCCAACATATCACTTTCGGACGCCCCATTCGTCGTTTACCATTTGAGTTCCACTCGAGAGATGGTCTGGTACCCGATATCATTAAACGGTCTCCTCAACATGTTCAATCTATCTCTATTTTCTTTTATATATTCGTGGAGCAATCGGCTCTTGGTTGGTTCGCTCCCAGAATTTCTTGTTGCTAATTCCTTCTGGCTTACCATCTGATCTTCAATATAAAACCAAAGAAGGCAGCTGTTGATAAAAGTCTGCAGTAGCCTGTTGGAAATCCTTTTCAAGACACGCTGGTGCCAAGCTTCTGACCCATATAGAAGAACTGACTGACGTCACATTTGTGTTGAAAATCCGAATCTTGTTCTTTATTGTTGGGTGCAGAAGATTTCCAAACTGGTTTCAGAACGATGAAGGTTTGTCTCTCCTTTGCAATTTCGGTTTCGATATCTCATCCGTGTTAGATGGCCTGTAGTTGAGACAATACTTCCTAGACCAGTGGAGGAAGTGGGGCCAGGCCTTCACGTTCCCAGTGGAACACAGGGCTTCAAGCTAGAGGCTTGAAGTTTCTGTAGCAGTGGTGTTTATTTTTACAGGATGGGGTTGCTAGCCTCATGCCCAACCTTTCCTCTTTACCAGCTTTTTTTTTAATATTAGCTCAGTGAGGTACAGAAGTGCGCCGGTCGGGAATCGAACCCCGGACCATGTGCATAGTCGGCGAGCGTCCTAACCGCTATGCCACCAAGGAAGTTACCTGCTTCAAATTTCTCTCTTTCATAGTGATCGGTACTGATTATTGATAATATTTTATTTTGCTAAATCACACAGTAATGTGATTATGAGCAATAATTTGTACTCAAAACTTCATCAGTTAATATTATTGTACAACACTGTGTGAATTATCAAGATAAAATATTATCCATAATGGAGTTGTACTCTACCACAGTGCCCAAGTTTCATACTTATATCAATCGGTACTGTTTGTTGTTGCTGGTTGGTTATCTTCATCACCTCTATCTTCTCTATGTTCACTGAAAGTCCTGTCTTCTCTGCCTGCTTTTTCTGCCAATTTATTGGCTTTCGCCTTTAAGTCTTTGAGTTTGTAAGATATCAAACATAGATCATCTACAAAGTCAAGATCTTCATATTCCTGTACTTTCGATGTGCGTCGGTGGCACAGTGGTTAGGACTCTCGTCAACCATGCACATGGTCCGGGGTTCGATCCCCTGCCGACGCACACCCGATATCTATGGTCGGCCTGCAAAATTTGGGCTACCGATATCCATGCTGAAAATTCCATACCTGTACCAAAAATACGGTGTGGGATCAAGCTGTAATCAAAATAAAAAAATAAAATAAATAATCTTTATTTCTACATCCAATGTAGAATTCACACAAGTATAAAAACATTAAGTAATTCTGATAAATTTATCTTCACGTTGAAACACTTTATGAATAAAAACAGATTCATCTATCGATTAACCAAATTGGTTGATATAAAAATACAGCGTAGTTTTGTACTTTTAATTATAGTACAAATTCACTGAGTTTTTCTCAATTCATGATTGTGTTTAATTTCTGCGAATTCAGATGTGTCTAATAAGTGTGTTAGTCGTATATATATAAGGAATATTCTGTGTACTGTGTTAATTTGCGAATCTTTGTGGAAGGGGAGCCAACTGATGAGGTTTTCAATCTATCTCGATTCAAATGTCTAGGACACATGTTACTTATTCCAAGTCATCGCGTTCCTCGATGAGCAATCTCAGATGACATAGAATTAGGTTGGGTGGTCAAACCATACCTTGGAATCAGTCCATGAAGTCTCTGACTTTTGGTCTGAACCACATAGAGAAGTATGAACTACCTGAGAGCCAGTGTCTGGAAACTATCGGTGATATGGTTAAAAATCGTTCTCAGTGGTGCAGATTATTATTATTATTATTGTTTGCTTTAATTCCTAGAGGAACATAGGGCTTCAGCCGTGCGTCTCCATCGCGTTCGGTTCTCTGCTAGAGTCTTCCCCTGGCTCCAAGTCTGCCCACACGTTTTCATCTCCTCTTCACATGACCTCCTCCAAGTCACCCTTGCACTGACGACAAACTCGCCGCTTCCCTTTCGGGTTCCACTCGAGCGATGGCTTGTCTAGTGATGTCACTTGATGGTTTCCTCAGAGTATGGCCAATCAATCCACCTCCATTTCTTCCTGCTTATTTGTTGCACAATCAGTTCCTGGTTGGTTTGCTCCCAGAGATCTCTGTTGCTGATCTTTTCTGGTTATCTGATCTTGAGTATTGAGCGAAGACAACTGTTAATGAAGGTCTGTAGTTTGTTTGAGATGCTCTTTATGACGCGCAGTGCAAGTCTCTGATCCGTATAGTAGCACTGACTTCACATTGAAGTGCAGAAGCATTCACTTTTTGTAATCTCCTAGATATAATAAATCCTCATTTATTTCCATGCTACTGTTCTTTCTCACTCATACTTCTGCCCGTTATAACTCCATTGATTTTGTTTCCACCCTCTTTTCTATATCTTTGTATGCTATATGAAGGATGGAAACTTGAAATGATGCATTTCTGTACAACGTTTCATGGTAATACTCAATCAGTGTGTGCTTTAGTTTGCCAACATTCAATCAAGATTAGTTTTGGTATTGATATGAGTAGTAGGTGGTGTTGTGAAAGGCCAGAATTGATCTAACCACTAGACAGACGACCTAACTCAGATGGTTTTGACTAAGCTGAACCTGTTACCTTAATAATGAGTTCCGCCGCAAACAAATGAAATAATCGTCAACTGTTATAGAACATCAATGAGTGGTTTACTGATTTCTATATTAGAAACTTTCAATGTCATACAGGACAACACAGTTAGTCTACCCCGATCACAGATATTTGAGCTGTTATAACTTTTGCATTAACGTTAGTAGCTTTTGGACGTCAGAATGTCACCTGAATGTCAACATAAGCTTCCTAGGAGAAGAATTTAATGTTTTGAAAATACCGATTAATTTTATCTTTTGCTTATGGACACATTGCGGATGAGAAAAACAACTTTGATCTCAGCTGCTTTTACCACAGAAGGTGTGATTAATGACCATAGTGCATCTGATGTAAGAGCTTCGATGACATTCTTTTCACAAACCATCGTTTTTCTCCCTTACTTCTGCATTATCTACACTTAAAATTCAAATTAAAAACCTTCATTGACTCATATGAAAGAAAAAGCGCTCAGCGAAGAGTACTCTGTCTGTTGAGTAGAATCCAACTGAAAACTGGACGAGAGTACAGTTAGCAATGGTGGTAATAAGGGGTAGAAATTCAACAGCGGGTGGGGGGAAAATAATACAATTACGATAGCAAAAAAGGGAAAACGTATTTGGAGTTAAGATACATCAGGTCCTAGTACCAAAACCTGCACTGAATATGTTGTCTAGAAGGACGACGAAAGCTTCACAATTAAATCAACAAGTTCACAGAACATAACTAATTGAATAGATCAGGTCCATGGTAAATTTAATGATGGAAAAAAATTCTTTTGAATTCTGATTTCATGATTTAACATGTGAATTTCCACTGCTTCTGCAGTTTGAAGAAGTTTGATTTGTACTCTTTTGACAAGATTCCCACGTATTCTGTAGATGACTTTGAAGTTGCTTTGTGGGTTAGCTTGGTGCCCAGATTCGATCAGGTGTCCCAGGATAGATCTGAGTGGGGATCTTCTTCCTCTTTTATGAAACCCCTTATTACCACCATTGCTAACTGTACTCTTGTCCAATTTTCAGATGGATTCTACTCAACGCCTTCAATTATATAACGTCACTAAACTGACTTATTTAATTTTGTTTTAGCTTTTACTGGATTGACACTTCTTTTTCGTAATACTCAAATGGTTATCTGAAATTTACAGTTTTAATGACACATTCCTGGAAACACTCCTTTTGTTGCTAAGACAACTTACTATATATATATATGAGATTGTACGGCTTGGAAGTGATAACGCCAAAAAGAGTCACTCGTCGCTGAACGTCTTTTCTTAAAATTCAAACAAATAGGATCTTATTTTCATTCTGTGGTAATGCTTGCATCTTGGGATTGTCTGCAATGCAAATACAACCAGTATGATCTTATATATAACACGAAAGTACTAAAGAGAAGGCAATTCACATGATCGGTAGCATCTCTGTTACCATCTGTGTCATGTGACTACTTATAGTCTTCAAAGAGAAGTGTGGCGATTTCTCATCTCCATCTGTGTAAATTTGATTCCATCTCTTATCAGTTCATCCAAGTGGCTGGCCAGAATTCTAGTGGTGTGTCTTGATACGGCGTTCTAGTCTGAGTTGAAGCACTCACTTCGCTGATGAGATTGACACTAGACGAAAGAAAAGGCTATCCAGTTTTTAGGTCACTTCAATTTGGCTAGAAAGTACTACTGCTTGACGTGGGCGGACTGCAACTACTCATATCAATCAATCAGTAGTATCTAGCATCAGATTATTCCCTTGCTTTGTTGTTTGTCATTCATATTATAATTTGAATAATTCTACTTTCGAAAGGAACCTGTGGTGTTCCGTCGCCTTCATAAATGCCTCTGTTTCTGGATATATATATACAGATAAATGATAGAGTTACTTCTCCATTGTTTCATTCCCTTCAGGTCATGTAGCTTCCTGGGGTAAAGGATATCCAGAGGTGTTAACACCGTGTTATACAGATCAAAAACCAAATTCTCGTCTTGGTCCAATCAATCCAGTCAGTAATTACTCTTATAAATTCATGTCTGATCTATACGAGGAGTTGCTGGATGTATTCCCTGAAAACTTGTTCCATTTAGGCGGTGATGAAGTAGATTATAATTGCTGGTGAGTTCTGTTAAAAGTTCAGAAGTTATTCTATCTTATTTGCATAAACTAATCTCACTTTAACCTCCTAATGTGATCCCAAGATATACATATATATGATTTGAAACTTCAACATAGAAGTCTCATTCGATTGATGTATAATCTTAGTGGCTAAAGGCCTACGATAGGATTAACCGTGAAGCAATTTGGAAACTTTTTCAACAATGTAGAGGCTCAGTACCCTTATCAATCTCATCCAACAGCTATATGACAGTGCCATGTGTCAGGTGATCTACAACATAAAACTCGCTGAAGTGTTTGAAGTGAATAGAGGAGTTAGACAAGACTGCCAACTATCACCGATGATGTTCCTAATTGTAATGGTAATAATAATAACGCATCCTAAACCCAACATGCTATCAACGGATTATCTAATTAGTATTTGAAAAGTGACATCGGTATGATATATCCACTTGAATTCGTACGCAGCGTTCATACTAGTGCTGTAATAACAGCAGATTTTGTAATCCAACAAACGGTATGCGTTCAAGGTTACTGGTGCGTCCGCACTCCATGGTCACCGTTCTTTATGTTAGCCTTATAAACGTAAATATACACCTATTTATAAATTTATATTTGTAATATCTCAGCGAAATTGAAATGATTAATTCCAACGTTTCGTTCGGCAATCTGGTCCGAACTTCTTCAGGGAAATTAATCGAACTTTGTTTATTCATTATTCACGAATGTTCCCGTTAATGATTCTTTAAGTATTATTCATAATTTACTTAGTGCTGACGACGAACTCAGTGGTCGTTGTCCTTTAAACCCCGAAGAAATTATGAAGGTATTAGAATTGTGTCTTCGATCCACGTTATTTACGTTTAAAGGGGTTCTTTACCGTCAAACAGGAGGCATTGCTAAGGGATCACCAGTATCTCCGCTAGTCGCCAATCTATTTATGCACTCATTAGAAACAAATGCAATTATGAGATGCCCTAGTCCCTCAAAGATGTGGTTAAGATACGTAGATGATACCTTCATCATAATCAAACGTAGCTTGTTAAATGAACTGTTTCACTTAATAAACAATATATCAGAAACTATTAAGTTCTCCAAAGAGGTTGAATCCGATGAGAATGAGTTGGCGTTCCTGGACTGTTTAGTAAAAAGAAAATTAGATAGAAAATTTAAAATAAACATTTTTAGAAAGCCGACAAATTCAGATAGATACCTAGATTACCATTCAGCTCACCCATTTACCACCAAAGTAACTGTGGCCAAGAATCTGATCAACAGAGCCAAACGTCTAGTTACTGAGGAGGAGGATATTAGCAAGGAATTAAAATTGGTTCAATCCACTCTTGAATCAAATAATTATCCAAAATCCTTCATAAATAGATATTTAAAATGTGAAGATAAGGATGAATCAAAACCTGTTGCTAAGAATTGGGTTAGTACAGCGGTGATTCCTTACCGCAAAGAAACATCCGACGAAATAAAGCGAATCCTTAACGACCATAACATACGAGTGTATTTTCGTGCATCAAACACCTTACGCTCTTTACTGGTTAAGGTTAAGGATAAAATAGAACAAGAAAACCAGCAAAATTGTGTATACCAGATCAATTGTGGGGATTGTAACGCCGTATATGTAGGAGAAACTTCCAGACAGGTAAATGTAAGGGTGAAAGAGCATAAACAATGTCTAAAGGTGGTTCCAAAGACCTCTGTAGACTTGAAGAAGCTAGAAAACAACTCAGCGATTGCACTGCACTCGATAGAAACGGGACACAAAATCGACTTTGATAAGACTAAGGTTTTACAGAAAGGTTTTGGTTCATATAAAGAAAGACTGATTGCAGAAGCCCTACATATATGGGTGAATCCCAACAGTTTGAACAGACGTGAAGGTGTGATCTTAGCTGATGCATGGCAAATCCTGACTAATAAATAAATTGGATATGTATCAACAACTAGTCACACTTGATCAAATTCCCGATTGTCTACGTCTTCTTATGGAGAGAATAACAAATCTATAAAATTATATTATATTTGTAAAAAAACATCTCAATTATTTTGTAACTATCCGGTCAAATCTTGATCACAGCTCATATGAGAATAACAAATGTTTTATGACTGTTCACACACACACACCATTGATACTGCATATACACATATATATTTTAACAAAAGTAGACTAATTTTGAAAGTCTGAGGTCAAATTTTGATCACAGTTCATATAAAAATTTGTTTTGTTTTGTTTACTATACCTATTGATAGCTGTTTCTTGATTTACATGACTGGACAAACAATTTAAAACAAGAGATGTACTTTTATATATAAAAAAGTACTATTTTATTTATTCATTTATTATACATGTTGATGACTGTTGCATGACTCATGATTGGACAAAGTTTAAAAACATGAGTTGTTCCTTTTATATACAAACCTCTGTTATTTTAATTCGATTAATTTCGCTGAAGAAGTTCGGACCAGATTGCCGAACGAAACGTTGGAATTAATCATTTCAATTTCGCTGAGATATTACAAATATAAATTTATAAATGTCTACTTCTCACTCAGCGCTCAATTATTATGCAACTATCCGGTCAAATCTTGATCACAGTTCATATGAGTAAATATACAGCAACCCAAAGAACATTAATTAAATAACTCTTAGTGCAGTAATGGAATAGGATATATGAATACAAGATAGTTAGTATTCGAAGAATCAGAGTTTATTTGTAGATATTATTTATTCCTTTACGTTCCCAGTGAAACATGGGGCACCTTCAAGCTAGAGGCTTGAAGTTTCTGTAGCAGTGGTGGTTATTTTTACAGGATGGGGTTGCTAGCCTCATGCCCAACCTTCCCTCTTTACCAATTTTATTACCGGCTTACCGAGGTAAAGGAGTGCACCGGCCGGGGATCGATAGACGATATGATGGAAAGTGAGTGTATATTTCTTCCCATAAATCTGGAATGACAATAGTAACTGAACTTTTAATCGAATGAACCAAACGTTTGAGTTTCGCGGGAAAAATTCAAAACAAAGAATTTGTTTAAAATACCGTGCTACATTATGTACAAAATAATGAACATGATATATAAACCTTAAACTGTGAGATGTCTAGGTCCAACCGTCGTCAAATTCACTGTCTCCGTACATAATGAAAAATAACAGTAGAATTGTGTCAAAGACAATCCACGATCAGTATTAAACAGCGTGATCATGTCCAGATAATGAATGAGGAGTGAGAATAAACAATGTTCAATGCATAGTGGCCTATAAGTAAAGCACGAGTCGAAAATCCTGTTTCACTATAAGAAGATAATAACTACAGACCAGATAGAATGTTTATAAATCAGTTGACATAAATTTCAATGGAAAACAATAGTTATGGTTGCGTTATAAGGATACAGTGAACGAAATATAAGCTCATGCTACTAACTAAAGAATAGTAGTATAATTGTAACTCGAAGGAAATAGTAACAGTCAGCAGGTATCTGTTTTTCATTACAGTGTTAAGTATTATTAAGTGTCCTTTGAGTCGAAGTAACTTTGAGGGTTTGAGCAGATGATAGTGAAAATTGGTGAATACATTCGTTTCTGCTTCATTCAAATTAATTGAGGCAACTCGATATACGGGAGTAATATGTGACTATACAACTCTAGACTGTTTGATTTGCATTTTTGTAGCGATAACAGTTTCTTGTCACTTCTATACGTTACTATTGTTATTACCTTGGGTTACAGAGGGGACATACAGCTCCAGTAGGCCATTTGTATTTCCCTCAGTTCTCCGAAGTCCTCTCCAGCCAGTCTCAGGATCGACTATGAGCCTTCATCAACTCCGCACAGTGTGGCATCTGCTATATAGATATGGACAGAAAGGAAGCGGCCAAAAATTGGAAAAAATATTTTAATTCAATGAGACAGAACTTTTCGTCACATTGTTTAACCACAGACCAATCGTCAACCAATCGCAGAGGCTTATTGTCGATTGATCTAGCCGACTTTTAATGTAATTGAAAATGTTTAGATATGATGCGCTTTCCCAAAATAAAAAGTCTGGTACCACTTTTGTTATCTTCTATCGTTACACTACGACTTCCTCTATGTCTCCCTAAGAAGCTCAACTAGTCGTTTCCCATTCAGGCTCCACTCAAGAGCCTGGAGAGTGATGTCACTCAGTTTGAGTCCAATACACCTCTACTTCCTTTTGCATATTTGCTAGGTAGTAGGTTGTTAGTAGATTCGTCGCCAGAGTTCCATGTCACTTATCTGGCTGCTTTCTAACAAACTGATCTTCAGTATGGAGCCTTTTATGCATTTTATAACATGCACTCCAAGTTCTTAAACCATATAGAAGTACTGACTGACTAGACATTCGTGTTGAAAATTAAAAATTTTGTTACTTATGCTGAGCGGAATAGATTTCCACATTGATTTCAAATAAATGATAGCCTGTCTTGCTTTTTTGATCGTTTCTCTGACATTTTCAGTGGTGCCACCTGTAGTTTAAACTATAATTTCTAGAATTGCATCACTTTTCGATGAAAAACATGTTTCTAATGTCAGCTAGATTTAGATAGACATGTACCTTGACCCTACATTTCTTTTATGCAATAATTTTTTACAAAAATCCAGTCTTTCTTGCAATGTGCGTCGGTGGCACAGTGGTTAGGACTCTCGCCGACCATGCACATGGTCCGGGGTTCGATCCCCTGCCGGCGCACACCCGATATCTATGGTCGGCCTGTAAATTTGGGCTACCGATATCCATGCTGAAAATTCCACACTTGTACTGAAAATACGGTGTGGAATCAAGCTGTAAATCAAAATAAAAAAAATAAAAATAAATAAATTCATCTTGATTTCAGGATGACAAATCCTTCAATTAGTGAATTTATGAAGAAGATGCAATTCGGGGATGATTATCGTCATCTGGAAGGATATTACATTAAAAGTTTAATACAGACTATTAAAGATATTAAACCACACGGACAAAGAATTACACCAGTTGTATGGCAAGAGATATTTGAGAATGGATTCCGAGTAAGTAATTTTACCTTTCAATCAACCTTAATAATATATATTATAATTTTTAAGGATTTGGGGAAAGATTATTCTTCTTTCAAAAATCAAGATTTCATCACATATAATCAGTTTTTTTCTAAAAATAATTACGAAAATTCTATGGCAGTTCATTCATTTTCCAAGGAAGTTGCTATAACAACGGCTGAAAAACTCATCCGAATAAGACCTACTGAGGCCGAAGTATCTTTTGAAGGCAGTTTACAAGTCAAAGTACCCAATTAACGTCCTTCCTTGGAATATCAGAATACAAACATTTAGCCGTATATAAGGTGAAAGATGTCGTTATTACTTTCTTCATTCCTAGTGGAACATTCCTATCTTGAAACTTGAGCTTTGGAATTTTGGTGGTGATGGTGTTCTTTTTCACGAAGCAGGGGTTGCTAGTCTCACACCCAACCTCCCCTCTTTACTTGGCTTACCATCGGATAAACGAGGTTCAGGTGTACATCGCTTGGGAATTGAACTGAGACTAAATGCATGGTTGGTGTGCACTTGAACAATCGACGAACTACTACTAAGATTGGTAGTCTAGAAAAATCCTCGACAGCTAGAACGAACGCACTGGCTTATAATCACAAGACATGGTTATGTAGGGTGACATTAAACAGTGGGAGAAAGGACCAGTCGAAGCTGTATACTACTGACAGATTGACTGATTGATTGATGAGTCGTTGTTCACTAGTCATATCAACCAGTGGTGATTGCCAGCCAACCAGATTGATGTGATCTGAATACGGAAGCAGAGTTTCGATCGTTTGGGGTCGAGCTTATCAGCAAATTAATCTGGTAATTGCTAATTTGACTCCAAGGGAGATTGGTTATTTGATCATTGTTTACAGAAAATAACGGGGATAGATTGCACGCAAATATTAGACATTTAAAAAGATCTTTCTAACTCATGAAACAACTAAATTTGGCTATATAGTTATAAAAAAGGAATTGCTGAACTCTGCGAGATCATTCTGATGTGATCACAGAAAATACATACTGCTAATAACATCATCCAACAAACAATACCACATTATTGTGCACTATATAAGACAGACAAGTTAACACAGATGTTACTGTCGTTAATAGTGACTAGCGGTGGAATCCGAAATGTGCATTTCGTCCCTCGTGAGACTCTTCAGTTCGAGGTACCTCTATCACCAGATTGGTGGTGTTCACACTGATAAATGGACCCAGCACATGTCGTTTTAAACGCTAAAGCGATTGGTGCAGCGTTGGAGTCACACTGTGAAGACCATCAGCCATGAGGAGTGTACATGCATCCAGTTTACGAGTCCCAGACAGGACGAAATCTACGTCCTCGTGAATTCCACTCATAGTCATCATCAGACAAAATAACACCTTGTTTATCTTCAGACACAGTCGAAGCCCAACACAGTAGGAGCTAACATGTTGACACAATTCTCGAAATACCAATCAGCAAAAATACGAATTAACTTAAACAATAGAAAGTAACACAGAGTTATAAATCCTGATGATGACCATTTCACTTTCACAATCACATATCTTTGTCCTGATGTCATAATGTCAGATTTCTTTTATTTTCGATAGTTTCATATTTTCTTAAATGATTGGTGTCAAATGACAAAAGACAGAAAGTTGAGTGGATTTAAGACTCCAATTTTTGTTGATGTCGTTTTGAATTATTCTTCAGAGCAGCAGACTTTACTATATCTGTTTCCCTGAGGTAAATGTGCGCTTATTTCTTTTTGACAGTTGTCAAAAACAACGTAGTCTCCACAATATTAGTAATCCTCACTATTTCAAATGGCTACAGAAAAAAGGAGATTGTTATTTATCTGGCAGTTACTATCAGTGGAATCTGGCACGTGTGACTCGACCTACATGAGATGTCTCATTGGGGATAACACCGTTCCCCCGAATTAAAATACACCTCAGTGGAGAGTCACAAATAGAACACAACACGCATCCCGGATTTCACTGCTAGCTTTCATCAAGACATAGTCGTATCGTTTGTACTGAAAGTCGATATATCAACACAGACAGAATAAATCCGCCTTTTAGCATCAAACAGAGGGGAATTTCTCAAATGATTTTCATGAATAAAACAGACGTCTGCTTTTAACACACAATATGTCGTCAACTCTTTGCTTATTATAACAATTTCACAATTTATCCCATATGATTTTGATGAAATCACAGAATCATTGAAGACTGAATATACACTTAGGTTGAACGTCTTATATGCTGTACTTATATCCTTTAAGTGCCTACTGAAGTCAAGAACACATTGTTACAGGCTGACGCGTCGTCGCCGTGCAGTCGACGCAGTACGGACTCTGATAAAATGTTGCTTAAACTTCAACTAGTTTTTCATGAAGATTACATTAACAAATGGGTGAATTTTGTAATGCTGTTTGTATATCCTGGAATTTCAAATCCTAACAATTGAAAGTTCTTATCATCCCTTATTCTCCGAGTGAGATATACATCTTCAGGGCTTAAACTCCCAAGTTCCATTAGTGGGATGGAATCGCTAGCCTCACACCTGACCTTCCCGCTTTTCCGAACTTATTGTCAGTCAGTACACTACGCTAGGTTTAAGATCCTGTCATCCGGAAGTCGAAACTTAACCTGTCACTTGTGGTCTATAGGCATCCTACCCCTGAACCGTAAGCACTTTAACATGCAGATTCCCTATCCTTTATGTAATTTGAATCCTTACTATATAAAACAGTTTGATATGTTTTACTTTTAACTGTCTGAAGGATTTTCGCTTTCCTTCTATACTGTGAAACTTAAATAAAAAGACAATTGCAGCGAAGAAAATTTTCTTTTCGACGAAATCATCATCTAGGCTGTACATTCGTGTATTTATATCAAATGGATAGGAAAGTTCCAGAATAATTTCCGGTTAAAGGTCAAATGAATAAAAATTACAATTAGGAATTAGAATGCCATAATAAACAGGGGGATGGGTAAAACTCAAACAAAGTAGCATAATAACTAAGAAGATTGACATTGTGCAATTGGGGTTAGAAATGTAGAAATAACAAAATATACAGGATGTTTGGATAAAAAACTAATATGATGAATAATTGTTTATGCAATCAGGGATTAAATATGTAGAAATAGTAAAATGACAAAATAAACAGGAAGAGTGGATATGAAAATATGATAGTGTAAACAGGGATTAAGAAAACTTAAAATAACATGAATAAACAGGAAGTTTAGATAAGAAAGGCGATGAGATTGTCATTATTAAAAAATTTTACCTGTTTATGATGGCCATGGCAGGGACAGGGGTTGGACGTAATTCTTTTGGATACAAAGAGTGGGTTTGAGCTTTTGGATAGCTAGCGCCTCAGCTATGCCCAGATGTCTTGATTTGACTCCCTTTGATAGGTTTGATTGAATTTTGTATATTACTTTGAAGGATTTTTCGAAAGGCGCTGAATGTCCTGAGTTGACCAGATGTTCTGTCACTGAACTGTATACACGTTTTTGGTCTCCTTTTACTAGCCAGGCTGGGTAGTGTTCACGAGCGCGTTTTCCAAGTCGGCGCATGGTACGGCCGATGTACTCAGCTCCACAAGAGCAAGTAAACTGGTATATGCACGTTGAGGTGGCCCAATGCGACAGCTTGTCTTTCGCGTTCTGGCTGAACAGTTTCTTGCAAGAAAACGTCAGTCGTAGGCTCGCGGTGAAGTATGTTTTCTTCAGCGATTTGGAGAGGCGTTTGCGAAGGATTTCTGCTTTAATATCACCTTTGAATTCTAGATTAAGCAGAAGTATTTTCCTTGGAACGCATTGGACTTGTTCGAAAGTCTTCTTAGATTTGAGATTCTTGTCTATGAACCTGGGTGGGAAACCGTTTTCCATCAGGGTTTTTCGGAGATTACGCAGTTCTTCTTCAATCACTTAAATAAAACCTGATGTTCTCCGCATACATATTTTACAATCGTATTTATTTATTTATTCATTGTAAGGGTGATAAATCAACTATAGTTCATGTATGGAAGGATAACAATTGGCAAAATGTAGTGAAAAATGCAACACAAGCAGGTTATAGAGTTTTGTTCTCTGCTGCTTGGTATTTGAATCTAATATCGTATGGTGATGACTGGAAAAATTACTATCTCGTCAATCCAAGAAATTTTGGAGGTAATTTTTGAATTTTATTTTAATTTTAATATATATATAGATGTGTAAAACTTGTCCGCTGTGGTAGTATGCAATTCCATGTTAATTTGTTTATTGCATATATCACACAGAGTGAAACAGTATTATTTACTGGATGATAGAGTTTCGGATACAATCTATTGTTTTTAATCACATCAGTTATAACTACACAACTTCAAAACCTGATCTTTATATTTGGAAGAGTTGATTTGTTTTATGAGTTTGACCACCGACTGATATCAGTTAGAGAAACAGTGAAAACCGGGGAGTGAGTACTGGACAGCTGTTTCATCCTATTTCGGGACTCATCGGCAGTACACATCCACTGTGTTTCGAACCCAGAACGTTCGACCTACAACGCAAGCTAATAGACCGCTAAGCCACTAAGACCCGATCCAATGACCCATGAATCCTAGTTCTATTTCATCCTTTCCATCCATCGTAATGGTATTAGAATTATCCAGATGTCCAAGTGGGCAGGTGTTAAATCATTCCAATTGCACGTAACCTCTGCCGATTACATAAATAAAGCTTTAGTTACCAGACGTTCGCTCCACCCTATTATATTAAACTTTAGGACTGTTATCTTGTCTCCTCCTACTGTGTTGTTATGTGTAATTGCATCTAGTGCTATATCTGAACTAGTATTTAGATTCTATATTTTATCAGGGTCTACTAATCTAGATTTTGCTAGATTTTTGTGCTCTACTAGTCTAATTTACCTCGTCCTACCACTTCTGTTAATGTATTTGACCTCATAATCACTTCAATGTATTACACAAACTTAATTGTTTTGTTTAATGAGCTACACAGGATCTTTTAACAGACATAATGTATTTCTAAGTGACTTTGTTGGTTTGGATGCCACTTTTCTTCCTGATTTGTTAAGAATTCGACGTAAGATTTCAGTTGTTTCGTTCAGATTTACACCGGTCACATGCAATAAAATAAAGTAGCCTCTATACCGGAAATATGGAAAATTTTGAAATAATGGGAAGATTTTTAGCTCAGATGGATGAATTTGATTTAGTTATGTTCCCTGAGCTAGTTGATTTTTATCGTGAAGCTTCCATCGCCCTTCTAGTTAACATCTTCGATGTAAGTTTAGGTATAAATTGAACTCATTATTCATGAATGAATGACATAATTGTATCTCCTGACAACCGCTGTCATGACTGGTTGTTAATTTACATCTCTATTGATCATTTTTATTGAATTGGAATTCGAACTTTCTTGTCGTGTAATTTACATTTTATTAGTTGGTATATTTGGTCTATGATAGTGTGTTTGTTAATTGCTGATTCACTTGAGTACCAGGCTTCTAGAAATTCTCTGGCAGTATTTTTCGTGTTTCCTCTACTTAAAATTTCGACATTCTCACAGTTGAATTCGTGTCCGTAATTATCTACACGCATCGATATGAAGGAATGCATACCGTGCCTTTTCACAGCTAATTCATGTTCTAGGATCCGGACTCGAAGTGGACACCCACTTTGACCATTATAGTGCTTATCGCAGTTCCTACAATTTATTTTGTATATGGTATTAATTTTATCTTCTTTTTCTGTTGGATCTTTCGGTACTCACAATGTTGAATAGAGTGATTGAGCTGGCTTGTGTGGTCTTAGTAGTTCTAGCCGTTATTTCAGGGATATTCTTTAAATATGGTAGAGTGAGTTTTCTTGTGGTCTTTGGTGAGGGTATTTTCTTGATAATATGGCTTAATTTTAAACTCTCTCTGATAAATTTATGTAGATTTCTTAGATATTTTAATTAAGAGAGCTAACACAGGAAATTTAGAAACACAAGTATACAGAAAGTCAACGCATACAGGCTCAACTATAATAGCAATAACCAAATTACTCATAAAAGAATCTGTGTGTAGACATTGCTTAAAAGACTCCAAACATAATGTAGCACTCCGGTGTTGAAGAGAATGGAAGAGAAATACCTACTAACTATCTTCAAACAAATATATACATACATCTCTGTTGACACACCAGATCTGAAAATATCATATACTAGCCAGGTTTGCTGAATTCACTGCTATGTAACTCTGAATATTCATTATGGACAAAGTTTTACATAGTCGTTAGTATGGAACAAGGAGCCGCCATGTCAACACATGCCGAGTACTTCGATCCAATCAATAATCTAGATAGCCCAAAGTGAATTAAATAGTAACTGATACTCGCTGCCAAAGAAGTGACTCTCCTGGCCCAAGTGGTCTAGAGGATAACGCTTTGGCGTTTAAGACCATGGGTACTGGGTTCAGGCCCCAGTGGGAACACCATCACTGACTAAGGAATGCAAGTACATTCCATCCAGATGATAAGTCCCAAATAGGAAGAAACGCACATCCTGGACTCCACTACTAGTCACCATCTACCAAAATATTCAGGTAATAGTTCCAATATTATATAGATAGTTTTGTGATGACAGCTGGCTGCAAGCCAAAATTGTAGACAACAATTTACGTCAATGTTACCGTCCCGAATCGGGGTCATGAGAAAAAACAATAACAAAGCTTAACCTGGACTCACAACCAATCACAGCAGACTTAACGTATGCAAATACGATTCGTAGATATATGGCTTAACTTTCTAAGAAATGGTCACAAGTAGTATGGAATAACCTTCAGCAAGAAAACAAACAATCAGAAGACGTTGCTTCTCTGCTAACAATAGCGCTAATAATAATGTACATAAAAATCTGTAAATATCTCTTGATTTTCTCAATAAACGATCTGTTGTCTGGCACTTGTCTTCTGTCGTTACAGTTTGGTTTGTCAGAGTAAAGATTACAGAATTATTGAATATGCCTGCAAGTCATATAGTAGCTCCAGCATTCATGATAATTCACTGACACACCTGAACGTACCGAGATGTTCTTAGCGGCATGCATTATTTCTACTCTTAATTTCCTCCTACTGAGATTTTTATGCTTTAAAATGGTATACTACTCACCTTGATTGGTAAGTAGGATAGTTACATTCCTCGCAGTATTGCTACATCCGCATTGTTAACCACTGAGGTATTGTTCCTCATCCCTTCACTGGAAAATCCTGACTTCTGGACTTATGTATACTCTGGGACTTTTTATACTGCTGTTCTGTTTCACATTTTTGTCCTTTTCACTGGAGTTCCTAGTGACGCAGTCCTGATGTCTGCTTCTTCTCATATACTCTGTTGGAAGTATTTTTAACGTTAGTAACCCTACATAAATCATAATTTCACGTTTGTATTCGCTAATCATCACTATTTTCCGTTATTATAGTATCAAGTGTTAGATAAACCTATCACTTGAGGATTTTGTTTCTTATTCATTGAAACGGACCTCTATCATGAATTACTTTAATACCCAGTATACTTCAGTAATCGACGATATTAGTTGGCAACAGTGCTATACAGGGATTCGATTGGTTACAGGATTTCATCATGAACTGACATCGGTTAGAGAACCACTGGAAACCACCAGGGAGTACTCGTCATCAGTACGCACCCACCATCAGGGTTCGAAGCCAGTACCATCCAGTTACAACGCGAGCTCGTCAACCACTAAGCCACTGGCATCCACCCGGTCCAGTGGCCCGTCCATGAGTTGAAACTTCTGCCAATTCACGATATAGCGCGACTGGCACTATCCAATATCATCACTGGCGACTACATGTCCTCGCACCCGACCTGCTGTACCTCAGTGGTCACTAATTCTCACTAGAACCCACGTAACTACCTACCTGAATAAGGTCAGTTGCAAGTGAGCATCAGATTAATATTCAAGTGCTGGTTTGCAGAGCTATTATCCTATATTACATTGTATCACTATTATATTATTATGATATTTTTTTGATTTTTATTCAAGGGAGCAAAGAAGACGAGAAGCTTGTTATCGGTGGGGAAGCAGCTATGTGGGGCGAATATGTTGACAATACAAATTTATTCAGTCGATCATGGTTAGTAATGAATGAATAAGTATACGGGATTTAAATTTCTTTATCTGATGCATTTTTTTATTGCAAACGGCTTCATCAGAGGTAATATCGTTAACAAATATCAGTTGGAGAAGTAGGAGACACTGGCATATGTTTCGTCCTATTTTACGACTCTCCATCAACACGCACTCATTACTTTACAAGAGAGATTGAACCGACAAACTTCAAGTTTCAAGACAAGTACGTAACTGTTCAGCACCTTTGGCGGGAATCTAAGCGTTAAACTGTGGTTAATTGAGACCATAGGACTAAGAAGGAAGATAGACCAGTCCCAGGCGGTGCGTACAGTCGACCTTCACTGTGCAAATATACAGCATCCGTTCAGTTATGAAGAAAATAAAACAATTCAAAGAAGTAAATTTCTGTTATCGATGAAATCCTCTTCAGAGGTTATACAATAGTACTGATACATACCAAAAAGCCTATATAGTAATAGGGGGTGACTTAATCGATATAACTAACTAACACGGTTCTGTCAAGTTCACACTGGAATCACAGATGAACTGAGAGATTCGTTTTCTGGAGGTCTGACAGTCGTTGTCAGATATCAGTCTACAGGAAACCAACATGAATTTTCATAGTTGGGTCCCTTTGAGACGAAAAAGAAATCAAGAATAAGAAGGATATGCACCAGTGATACAACCGATGGTGAAGTGAACAGACTCAGACAAGTCCTCAATGAAAATGAATAACTTACAAGATTCATTGAGAAAAACATGGAATTAAAGCAGATGCCTGACAGAATCGAAACAATGCCGAAGAAACTGTTGTTTATAGATGTAAAATTCAAAGATGATAATGTCTCTGGGATTCTGAAGAACCACTTATCCAGATCTCTGAGAAAGGCTTTTGTTTCAGGTGGGCTACAGATCAATTTCTACACTCAACAGTTGATCAATGGATGTGTGAAGGACAAACTACCGCCTTGGATCACTTCAATGTGTGTTTATAAATTCACTCGCTCCTGTTGTACATATATACTGGCCAGATCAAGTGTCCATTTCCCAAAAGTATCTCTGAGCACTATCCAGAGTGATTAGCAAGACCACATGATCTTAATCTCTGTCTTAGTCGTTCACTTTTATTTTTTAGTGGTTAATTCACTATTATCACACTTACATGTTCCTTTTCTTCTACCTTCATTCTCCTCGAGTAAGAGTTTCCAAAGTTCAAACCCTTTGCTAAATTGTGTCATTGACTATTAAGTGGCTATTTGCCTATTGACTTTATTTTAGAAGCCTTGTTCTATGTAATTATATTAATTATGTTACACCCTTATTACTTAATAATAAACCACTGTACGCTCTTAGTAAGTATAAAGATGATTGTACAGCGCCTCTGAAGATGATTTTATTTTTATTTTTTATTTTATTTTGATTACAGCTTGATGCGACACCGTATTTTCAGTACAAGTATGGAATTTTCAGCATGGATATCGGTAGCCCAAATTTTGCAGGCCGACCATAGATATCGGGTGTGCGTCAGCAGGGGATCGAACCCCGGACCATGTGCATGGTCGGCGAGAGTCCTAACCACTGTGCCACCGACGCACACGATAAGGAAAATTTTCTTCTTTCAGTCATCTTTTGTAATCTTCCAAATACATTATATGACAATATATTACCCACATCTGGAAGTTAAGGCAATAAACAGTTGTCTTAATTGGATGCATAAATGCAGGCTTCACTCTAATATATATATATATATATATATGGAGCTATTCTCTACCACAGTGCCCAAGTTTTATACTTATATCAGTAAGGTTTCCTAGGTTCCTTCCTTGTATGAAATTACTACTGATGATTTAGATTATTTAATTACTTAATGTGGTAATAACGATGATTATAATGATAACAAAAAATATTGATAATAAGGTTTATGCTCGTGGTGATAAGAATAACGAAGGTAGTAATATATGTATATGTAGACAATTCAATATATAAATTAGTTCAAATCTTAAAAGTTACATAATACTGAAGGTGAAGGGGACAGATAATCACAGTTTAAATAAATATAATAAAAGTACGAAGGATATGGCAAATAAGAAAGGATGGGTGGATTTTTCAATTAAAATTTACCTAAGCCAAGGGAGAAACACAAAGGTGGAACAAACTTCTTTTGTATACAAAGACTAGGCTCGTTCTATCAAATTAATTCCCATAGCTTCAGCTATGTGTAAAAGGCGGTTCCAATTCCGTTTGAGAGGTTCGATGGAATGCGATAGATAACTTTGAAGGCACTATTTTTGTCCACTTGGTGACATCCATCGTCAATCCAATGAGACAAAATAGAACTTCTTATAGATTTTGCTTGGCCTTTTTCAAACCACAATGGAAGATGTTCATTAATACGTTTGCTAAGCTGTCTAGTTGTTCACTCTATATGGCCAGCTTTCTCCACAGGAGCAGCTAAATTTGTAAACACACATAGGCAGCTTGTCTTTCGCTTGAGCAGTCATAATTAGTCGCCTGGGAAATGACAAACAAAGGGTGGGGGCAGCAGCATAAGTCTGTTTTATCGCTCTCGACAATCTTTGATGTAGAACTTCACTGGCCACGTCCCATTAAACTGCAAGTCATTATAACCATCGTTGTTACCGACGCTCAAGACACTTACCTCATTACTATTTTTTGATCCACACAAACCCACAGTCATTCATTAATTTTTTTACATACACATCAATGTAAATTAGAGTAAAGCCTGAAGAAGATCTAATTGAAAACAACAATATATTGTTCGCTTATATGTCGTGTTCTAATATTAATAATGGGAATAAATATTCTACCTCAGCACCAGTGATTTCATTTGCTCAAACTGGTTCAAGCCAGTTTAAGCCTGTTTTTATTTGGTTTTAAAGCGTAGGCAGAACTTTAAGGTATACAAAAATACTAAGCAAATTCTTCTCTCTTTTTTTAACTTTTTAAAGGCCTCGTGGTGCAGCAGTAGCGGAACGACTATGGACAGAATATGATAAACCTGACGTAATAGAATTTGTTCCAAGAGTAGAAGAACTCCGATGTCGAATGCTCAGGTAAACTGAATTGTATTGTATTAATATTTTATATGATAATTAAGTGAAACATTTATTAACAAAAAGATTATTCATTATCACTAACTGGCTGTGAGTGTCATTCACGTTTAACAGCATACGTATTTCAACAGCAGAAGGCAAGACACGAAAGCCAAGGTATATTTTAAGTGATCAAACCAGTATTTATATACATTCAGTTTTATATTCTTTAACCAATCACTGAGCGTGTGATTTTGATTTACATTAAACAACAAGAAACACAATGTTCAAATGCTGGCTGGCTGGATTCAACATAGAACTTGGCACCGAAGTGCAGCAGTTCGAGTTGTCACGTTCCAAATAGCACACAAAGGTAGACAAGAAAATGAGCGATGAAGAGAATCAATAGAGTTTTGACAAGTATAAGAGTGAAACAGAATGAGTAATGGTAGAAAGGAATATGAAAGATTACAGAGACTGAATACATCTGCGTAAGCCATTGACAACGATTTTGAGCCATGTCACCTATTGTCTCCAGCCATTGATTCTTAGAGTCCCGAGGGCCCCAACCCGGGAGTCTGCATCTCCCTACCTGACTCAGTTTAACTGTCAGGGATTTCATGGATTGATGAGGCCATGTTTTTGTTTGGCCACCACTTACTCTTTTCCAACCTGCACCTATATCAGCTAGTAATGCCCGTCGGGGGAGACGATCGCTGGGCATGCGCAGCACGTGACCTAACCATCTCAATCTATGTAACTTCATAGCCTCTTCGAGTGATTTTCCCTCTTTGCCCAACACTCTACGCCTAACGTCAACATTACTTACCTTATTATACCACCTAACGCGAGAAAGAGATCGTAAACATCTATGATCAAAAACAGTCAACCTTTTCATGTCTTCAACTCGTATTGGCCATGTTTCAGAGCCATAGAGAAGGACGGAGCGAACTGCTGAGCAGTATACACGTCCCTTGGTTGACAGCCGGATGTCACGCCTACGCCAGAGACGGTGTAAGTTAGCGAAAGCAGCCCGAGCTTTCTGGATCCGTGCTGTGATTTCGTCACCAATCAATCCGTTGGTGCTGATACAACTTCCCAAATAGGTGAAGTGGTCAACATGTTCTATCACTTCACTCCCTATCACTAAGCTAGGAGTTGACGTAGTCCAGTCCTGTAGCAGCATCTTACATTTTACAGGGGCGAATCGCATGCCAAACATACGAAGATTGCTGCTCAAGGTGTTCAGAAGACTCTGTATTTTGTCAGCAGAGTCAAATACACATATATATCATTCTGTTGCTAATGTAGTATTGAACTGTGGGAATATATGAGAATAACATTCCATTGAACACATTGGCTGTAGCGCACCATCATAATATGACCTCCAGTTACTTCGAAGTAAAAATTTAATGAAGTAATTGATCAACAGCATTTCCGCTGACTACACTACCAACGTTAACAGTGTCGTCCTGAACAATGGAAAGATATCTTGGGGTTAAAGTGATTCACGTTAATAAGTACTTCCTAAGGTTGTGTACTGAGACTGGAATGAGAAGTAAGAAAGCGGTGGATGAAGTGAATCTCCTGTGTTCCACAAGTGATTCCTGATGATAGTGGCTGATGAGGCTTAAAAACTGTATACCAGATACACTGTCCCACTGTTTCTCAACGTCACTGTTCATAAATGTCAACTCTTATACTCATGAATCAATTCTCCTTAAAGGAAAAAGAGCCTCATGGATCTCTTCAACAGACTTCAAGGCCTGTTGTCGAATGGTTACTCTCAACACCAAAGTCAGCTAGCTGTAAAGAATAATACTGTTTAAGAGGTACACTAAAGGACTTTTGAGGAAAAGTCTTTTGAAAGGATTCTATCTATAAAATTAACTATTTAAAGTATATGTGAGGAAGTCAAATTTGTTTTGGTAATTTTGGTTTCTATAGAAAATTTCACCTCGAACTGAGTGAGTAACATGCGAAGTGGGAATTTAATTTCCAAGTTGTGAATTTGTTGATTCAATATATTTCCACTGAAACCAATTTGGAAATCTCCTGCACTCAACATAAGGAACAAGAGCCGCATTTTCAACGCCAATGTCAAGTTGGTCACTTCTTCTATACCAGTCAGAAACTTGCACTGCGTGTCACGAAAAGGATTTCCGACACGATATTGCAGACTTTTATCAACAGTTGCCACCTTCGTTGGCTGGCTCCATAGTGAAGATCAAATGGTCAGATGGCCAGCTGAAAAGGACAGAAGAAAAATAGAAGAAAGTGGAGATGTATTGTTGAAGCCTTATATTCCACATGGAACCGAAGGGAATAATAATAATATGTTTTGAGTCCTTAGTAATAGTGCTGACTGATTATATCAGTGCCATATGGTCACCAATCTAGGTGACTGGTCATCGTGGTGAACTTTTTAAATCAATATTACCTAGTTGCTGCCAATCGAAAGGAGATATAAGTATAAAACTTGGGCACTGTGGTAGAGTGTAACTCCATTATGGATAAGATTTTATTTTGATAAGTCACACAGTGTTGTACAGCAATATTAACTGATGACCACTCTTCGAGCACAAATTATTGCCACTCATAATCATAACAAGTCACTCACACAACTTTTTTCCTTCATTTATATACATGCGTGGAATTGACTAGATATTTAAATAAAAATCAATATGGGATAATGTACATTTAGAAATAATAATATGAGTGTTATTGATCAATTGCAATCAGATGGGAAATAAGACGAGTGTTTTTTTAGTCGTAATAAGTAACTTGTTAGGATGTTGGTGGCACAGTGGTTAGAACTGTCGCCGACCATGCACATGGTCCGGGGTTCGATCCCCTGCCGACGCACACCTGATATCAATAGTCGGCCTGCAAAATTTGGGCTACGGATATCATATGCTGAAAATTCAATACCTATACCAAAAAATAAGGTGTGGAATCAAGCTGTAATCAAAATAAAGAAATAAATAAATGTTGTGATGTCCCTGAATTGAATTAGAATTTTGAGATTATTTATTATCCTCTTCTGATTTGACCCGTTACCTGAAGTATCTCTGGTGGTTTCATGGATATGGACTGCTGAAAAGTCAAAAACTAAGACGAAACAGCTGTCTAGTGCTCAATGGTTTTTAATGATTCTTTTAGTAATACTGGTTCATGATGTGGTCAACAAGCAAATCGATCGAAATCTCTACAAAACTCAAAATCCGAGAACCTGATTTAGGCTTGTCAACTTCGACAGCTGGACAATTTCGTGTTGTCCCCATCCCATCATTGGATGAACTGGAAATAAAGGTGGCCCATAGTCATCAGACAAAGAAGTACTTGGAACAAAAGGAATTCGTAGACAGTTCTCACTTTCACCTACATGATTGATCGATACGAGTAGTTGAAAACCCCTCGTGTTTGTTAGCCAAATTTAATTAACCTAAACATCGGAGGACTGTTTCCCTTGTTCGTGATTGCATTCGTCAGTGAGGAGCCAGTTTGACTCAGTTCAAAGAGTCAAATCACTCCAAGCCACCTCGAACTGCATATTTGTGAATAGTGAGTGTGATTCTAACACTTACTGTCACCATGGCGAGCACACTACCCCCTTTATACTAAAAACATGTAGACTTCAGAACTGGCTGTATGTACACAATACTATTGCATAATTTACTTCCCCATTTCTATTTTAGTCGTGGCTGGAATCCGGAACCAATCAACGGACCAGGATACTGTCCTGTATGATCAACTACCATTTTTGTATCGTCTATTTTCTTCGAAAATTCGATTATTTCCTCCCTATCCCCCGTTTTTATAAACATTTCCTTCATTGGTTTTCCATGCATTCACTGTTACCGATATTATTTTGATAATTGAATTATAAATATGAATATTTTTACTGTTGAACAACAATATTTATTGCAGGCGTTGATTTTATCCTTACTTCTGAATTGTTATACAAGCTGATTTGATGAGTGATCAAAACAAAATTAAAATAAAATGTTAACAGTTTAAGTAAGATATTCTGATTGATTGATTTCATTCACTGAATAATCCCTTCCAATACTGAACGAGTAACAAGCATGACTGCACGACAACTTCCTAGTAGATTCTGCCAGCATTAAATAATACTAAACGCAAAGACTTAAGCAGTGATATTAAGGTTGATAAAACCATTAATACACTTGTTTGTTTCAGCTAACGAAATTCCTACCTAGAAGAGGCGTTGGTTTTAAATAACTATCCTCTAAAATTCATTAGGAAGATTGAAAAACGCCAAAAGAAAAAAAGAAAAAAATTGTGAAACTAGTAATAATAACATAAATAAGAGAGAATATAAGTCATCTACAGTTATACCATATAAAGAGGGGACATCTGTGACACTACCTACGTAGGATTCTAAATAAAGCAGGAATTAAGGTGGCATTTAAACCTACAAACTCACTCAGGGACAGGCTCTGTAGGTTAAAGGACCCTGTAGGTTCACCCAGTCAGACAAAATAATAAAATTTACAAAATACCCTGCAATGACTGTGAGGTCAACTACATAGGTCAAACTAGTAGGTCAGGGGTAGTCAGATTGTCAGAACATAAGAATTTAGCTAAGGTAAGAATGGTTGACCCAGAGAAGATGAGTAATTTAGAAAAAAGCTCAGCAATTGCAATGCATGCATTAACACAAAACCACACAATAGGGTGGGAGAGGGTTAAAATTCTAAAGAGCAACATAGGTAGGTGGAGAGAGAGGTTGATTACTGAATCTTTGTTCATCGAATCTACACCCAACACATGCAATAGGAATGATTCATCACTCATACCCGAAATATGGAAAATATTACCACCAATGAAATCAAGTGAAAAACAAGGGAACTATATAAATGAATTTAGGAAGTCGTGTGATTAACTTGACATGATTATGAGCAATAAATTGTGCTCGAAACGTCATCAGTAAACATTACTGTATAACACTGTGAGACTCTATCAAAATAAAAATTTACCCATAATGGAATTACATTCTACCACAGTGCCCAAGTTTTATTCTTATATCAATGATACTTATGGTCTTCCTACCAGGAAGCTTATCAACAAACTCACACGACTTTGTCAAACTGAAGCAAGATTCACAAATCATCGGATTTTTAACAGTCGATGTTTAAAAAATCATACAATTCCGAAATATTTACGTCTACGTACTCCAATTACTTCAAGTAAAATAACATCAGCTGCCGAAAATGTCAGTAGATTATGTCTAAGAGAAGAATTACATCGAGTTACTGTGAAACCAAATAATATACGAAATAAAATTGAAAAACTCAAACACAAACTCAAAGATATGATCAATGACAAAGATTATACAATTATTCTTGAAACATCCAAAAAAGCTAGAGAATCTGCATTAAGAAAATCTAAAAACACACAAACCAAAAAATTCAACAAACTTATTGAAGAAAAAAAGAACACAGCAAATGAAATTGATGTCAATGCTTCATCCTCTATCGACAAAACAAAGTGGGTGATCAACCTCTCATCAAGGGAACTAAGCTCCAGTGAGATAAAAGTACTGGAGAAAGGACTAAATTTCAACGTAACAGTTAATAAATTGAAACGGGTAGATATCGGCTCATGGTCCTTCTATGTACACGCATGAAATGAGTTCACAAATGTGCGACTACGAAAGACCAAGCGCGCACTACTCTCAAGACAACCTAAAAAGAGTGGACTCAGGCCCTGTAAATTACAATCTGAACAGTGAAACAGACCATCTAATACCGAGAAATGATCACAGATACCTACATAATGAGGCCAGAAACCAACATGTGCAACAGGATTATTTTCGGCTGCAGCAAACAATAGCTCCTCTTGCAGCACAGTTTGTTCAGGGAATAGTAGACACTCTGACACTGTCTCATCTGAGAATCCCTCCCAACATAACATAGGCAACCAGCAGTTAGGGATAGTAAAAAGGAAACTTACCAACTATCCTCCGAACAACCCTGGTCTTCTGAGAATTATGCCCTTAAATGCTCGATCTCTCCTTAACAAAATTACCTCCCTTCGCAGCTTGGTATACATGGAACGGCCAACACTGATCCTGGTAACTGAAGCTTGGCTAACTAATGACATACTTAACATAAAGCTGATAATTGATAACTATGCCATCCACAGAAATGATAGAGTGGACAAAAGAGGAGACGGATGTCTAATATATGCTTCCAAATCCACTGACTCCAATACTTTGCCAACCCAACTATCGACAAACTCCCAGAATCTAAATGGATAAGCATCCACACGAATGAAAATAAAATTCTAGTGGGATGTATATGCAGAGCCCCTAACAGTCATAAAACGATTGATACGGTTATCGGAGAAATACTAAAACATGCACCTTCTCTGGAATTCGACTACATACTAGTTTGTGGCGATTTCAACCTCCTCGGAGTGAACTGGGATACCTGCACTGGACCTAGAACCCACGAGGAGCTCCTAGAAGCTATAGATGTAGGAGAATGGAAACAGTTCGCACACCTCCCTACACGACATAACAATATTCTTGACTTAATCCTCTGTTGCAAAATAGAGCAGATCTCGATAGAGGTGGGAGAAAACCTGGATCACAGTGATCACAACATAATGTACTGCACTCTACCTCTTCAACTAACAACTAAACACACACTTAAAAATTCCCCGGTTCACTATCAGTATAGGGACCATAGAAATGCCGACTGGGAATTCCTACCAACGCTCTTGAGAAGCTCTGACTGGGATGAATACTTTACCAATGATAACTTAGAAGTAACACTTGATACATTCTACAAGACAGTCAGTTCGGTAAGAGATGCAATCGCACCCCTAAAGTCTGCCCTAAAGACACCAACTCTATTCATAGACCGCAAAACGCGATTAAAACTAAGGAAACTGGGAAGGAAATTTTGTTCATATAAAGAATTTAGTGCATTACACCAGATACATGAAACATTTAAAAATCTTGAAGAGAGACATAAAATGAAGGCACAACTCGAGGAAAATAAAGCCCTAGGGGGCACCTCTAAAACTCAGGAACTCCGCAAGATCTTGCAAAAACGACTAAAAAAGGGTAAAGAAAAAAATGTTGGCCACTTGGAGCATGAAGGTATAATTTATGATGATCCCCAGATTATTTGTGAACTCCTAAACCAGTGGTTCTCCAATAACACCATAGCGCATCCGTCCCCAATTCTCGAGATAACCTGCAAAAATAACTATGAGTTAGGTGACATCAACTTTAATATACAAAATATAGCATCAGCGGTAAAGACATTAAAATCTAACGGTAATTGTGGGATAGATGATATGCCATCTGCCATAGTAGTTACAAACATACAGACTGGAAATTAGTTCAAGAACTCATTCGACTCTGTCACTGGGATGAAAATTTTACCATAAAACGCGATTAAAACTAAGGAAACTGAAAAGGAAATTTTGTGTACATAGAGTTTAAAGCATTACACCAGACATATGGAACTTTAAAAACTCTTCGGAAGCGAGATAGAATGAAGCCACAACGTAAGGAGAATTAACCCTTTAGAAGCATCTCTAAAATACAAGAATTCCGCAATATCTTCCAAAAACGACTAAAAATAATAGAGACCACAACGATAGGTCATTGCAACATGAAGGTATAATTTCTCAAGATCCCCAGATTTCGGCGACACAATAAGAAGACGTAGGCTTATCTGAAACGTGTGATGTATTTGCGCAACACATCGGATATTCTGATCGCACACGTACTTGTCATACACAGTTATATAGAAGGAAAGAAAGTATGAATTATTACAATACAGGTCACATTTTGTACAGGTCAAGGTCACATATAATGAGTTGGGAGATGACGTTAAAGGTGTGGGATAAGCAAGAAGGAAAAAGCAAATAAGGGGTTGAAAATATTATGAAATAAATTAAACCTTGGTTATAAGTTGGATTATCAAGGCAGGTTTAAAGTAATAACAAATAACTTTTGGAAACATCAGACAAGTTTAAGTCCTTTTACGGCCAGGGCCTCAACCAATATAAGAATATGACCCAGCCTTGTTTTATATGGGTTTTGAAGCATTATTGAAATCAACCTTATGATACATCTTTGTGATGTGCTTCTCTACATATGATGTTGGACATCTATTCCCGGGATCAGTTGTATCCGGCGATTTCATTTGTAGTTGCAGCCACTTTTGGACATATTCTGTAGCCGTAACCTGCAAAGACCGATACGTCCTGTCAATGTACGTGTATCCAAAAATATTGAAAATTCATAAACACAATTTGATATGATACTATAGTTCTGATACTCTGAGGGATTACAGGACAGCAGAGATCTCCTATTCTACTCTCTCTTTCCGAGGGTAAATATTATCTAACACCAATTAGTTGAGGTGTTGTTGTTCTTATAAAACTGTGTATGCTGTACATAAACAGAAAATGCGTCTGAACAATCACATAACCAACGCCTTTTTGTACTGTATTGGATAGAAACTATGATAATTTGGATACTGTCCCGTCCATGTGGACTTTCTGTAGACAGATCGTTTCACTGACCCACCTTGTCAGTGGGTTATGAGTACATCTAAAAATGGTAAGCAGTCATTATTCGCTTTAACGCATGTTAGTGATATGCTGTTTTGTGCTCTATTGATCTGGTCAAGGATTTCTATGGTGTCAGACGGTTTATCACAAATCACTATTATGTCATCCACGTATCTCTTATAAAAATAAACTTTTCCAATTTCGTCCTCAGCTAAGTTCTCAACATGCGACATGTATGTATCAGCTAACAATGGACCTAGGAGGTTTCCCATAGCAACACCATCGATCTGGCGAAAATGCTCGCCCTCGAATGTAAACTTAACATTCTTAGTACAAAGAAGCAGTAACTCTTTTAAGTAGGAAGTAGATACTGGTAATAGGAAATTGTTGTCAGAGATGTAATCACATAAAATGTCAACCGTCTGTAAAAGAGGCACATTTGTAAATAAAGAATCAAC